CAGCCACAGCCCTCACCCCGCTCCCTGCGCCCTCGCAGGGCCGGTGAACGGCCTCCAGGGAGCTGGGCCACCTCGTCCCATGCGACTGCATCTTCCTCATGGAAAACTAGCCCCCGACCCCTCCTCAGGACCACGCATGTAACATCTCTAAGACCCCTCTAACAACTCTTTCCTTACGCTTCTACTGCAGAAGCAGCAGCGCGGGCAGCACGGCAGGCTCAAGCGGAGGACCTAGAGAAAGTGGATATCGAGCATGTGGAGAAAGTGCTGCCACAGCTGGTATGTAACTGTAGAAGCTGAACAGGGTAAGGATGTGGGCTGAAGCAGCTTAATCCTCTTCCTTTTGAGAGACGTTTTGGGGAACCCAGCAGACGTGTTGACTGGCTTGCTGGTCTCTCCCTACAGCTTCTAGATTTCTAGAGGCCTCATGAAGCACATGTGGCTTGCCAGCAGAAGATCCTGACCTGACAGTGAACATCTGGTTCATCCTCAAGAGTCTAGCTCTAGGAAGAACAGTCTCAACTTCTTTCTCTGCCATTTTGCTTCTTTTTCCTCTCTACTTTACCAAGCATGACACAGGCCTAGGCAACTATGCTGTCAGATGCTATTTTTGAAAAGAGGCTGCCAGACGCTTGTTTTGGTCGGCTAAGTGTGTAACTGGTTTCCATCTTGCCGCCTTACTCCTTTAACAGTAGCCTGTACTTCACAGCATGGTAAGGTGCTGTGGCTTTCTCAGCTAATGTGAGAAACAGGTGCTGCTTCACAGAGATGCATGGTAAGAATTAATGACTGGAAATGTCATCCAAATTTCAGGCTCTCATCACCTCAGCAGGCAGCTGTGGCAGAAACTTTAGGTCCAGCTCCAAGCCTGTCTAATGAATAGTTTATTAACAGGAGCTCAGTCACAGGCTCTTGCCAAAAGCAGGTAACTGATCTTTATTTTATAAATAAACAGTGTGTGTCCCTCGCTACCTTCCAGTGTTTCTCCAGGGCTGTGACATCAAAGAATGCTTGGAACCTTTTAACCATTTGATATTCTCCTCAGAAGCTGCCTCCTCTCTGCTATAAATTTGTTCTCACAAAGAAACATCAATAAATTAAAACTGAGTCTCCCTTGCATAGGCTCTTTGCTGCAATTAATCATCGAAAGTCAAGTTGCTTCAAAGACTTGCAAAATTTCCCCCTCACCCACCCTCTTCGCTAAATCTTTGTAGGACGAAAGGAAAAAGGACAGAATAACAAACAGCATGTGTGAGAATCTCACATCATGGGACAGCCTGGCCCCTCAACCAGCAGGGGGGCCAGGGGGGGGAAGCTGTGAAATAAGAAACCTTACACATGTAGGCAGGACTCACACAACTGAACTGACTTTGTTGGGAAAGACATAGCTGGCTGCATGAAAAGCAGCTGACTCCAGCGTGTCTCAAGGACTGCACACTCTCTGTTTTTGGCTATCTGTAGTCTTTATGATTAGTAATAGCGAGAAATTTTTTTCCCATTGACAGCTGTAGCAGGTGGAGGCTCAGTAGGTCACTACTCTTTCAGCCAAGAGCTATCAAGGTCATCACTCAGGGTACCAGCCACTTGGAAACTTCAACTAAAACCACAATTTAATACACATTTTTTCTGATGACAGTACCAGCTTAAGCAGTGCCCCATCCCTCTGCACTGGAGCCTCTTCACTAAAACAACTATTTGTGCAGCTGACAACAAAACCAATGAAGGAACTGACCTAGTTCAGCCTTCTGCCCTGCAACCATATGGTAAAAAAAGGCAAAAGCAAAAAATGCAAGTAATGCTACCTTTGAATGCCCCAAGCCCCCAGGGATGAATTCAGCTACTATAGCAGAAGTGACTGTGAAACAAATCCAGCTCATCGTGTATCTGCATGTATTGTTCTGCAGCAAGGTAGGAATCGTTGTAGCAACTACCTTAGTGAAGAGCCTGCAGTTTTAAATATCAGGGCATCTTGTCCCTCTTAAAAGAATTCACTCCTACTTTCTTGCCCTTTCCAGATTTCAAGTCCTCATCTTTCCCCCCATTCTGACTCCTACGGACATGCAGGACTCTTAAAGCTGCTGGCCTAGAAAGGCTCTAGTTCATTTCCCTGACATACCTGGTCCATACACAAGTGTTCTTGACTGAAGAGGGTTGCTGATGTGAATGTTAGTAGTAAAGCAGTATTTTAATAGCAGCAGCAGCTAAAACTAACTCTTCTTTGCATAGGGAAAGGGGAATAAGACCTCTGGTCTAGCTGTTAAAGGTACCAACTTTTTCATTCTGCTGAAAGAGATGTAGATTTAATTGGGTTTGATGCATGGCTGAGTTACACAAGGCACAAGCATGGGCAGCAGAACTAACTGAGGTAATAGCCATAGTTAGCAATATGAAGTCTCCTAATCCTCAGCCCTGTACTCAACCCATGAAATTGCACCAGTAATTATGATATTTAGTCCCTAAACTTTTCCTTCCGTTTGCCCATATCAGGTACTTGCAGGTGATAGTTATGGTGCTTGCTCTTTGTCAAAACTGGTGGAATCAAAATAGCTAAGCAAATCAGTACTATTTGATGTTGCCAGTGCTCTTCAAAAAATAAGACTAGCACATCTGAAACCACACTACAACTTCCTACTGACCAGAGTGCTTCTGTTTATTCTAACCCTGTGAATCAAAACCACCAGCACAAGTATATCATCACCTATCATTTAGCTATGGCTACTAGTTGCCCCCTGATATAGCCTGCACAAATTCAGCAAAGCAGCTCTAGCTACAGTCTACCTCTGACTTCTGTGAAATGAATAAGCCTGGCATAGCACCTGAACCAAGATACAGAAAGTCCTATGGAGTGTAGGCTCAGCCCACACTTAATCCACTAAAGTAATAAACTTTAAAAATTATTTTAATATTTATTGTTTTGCTGTAGTATGTCTTTTAAAGCCTGTCAACTGCCAGAAGGGCTTGCTTTCCACAGTAAGGATTTAGAGCAGCAGGGGTACATAGTGCTCTTGCATTCCCCACTGACAGTGGCCTCACACATTCCCTGTTTATGTTTGGGTGTCATAAGAGAAAGTAATCAACATTTTTGCTAAAGCATTGTGCTCCCTCCACTCTGAGTCTCCCTCTTCCACCTTTCTTTCATGCCTCCTCCTTGCTCTGAGTTTCTTCAAAGCATCTGGGAGCATCTGGAAGTAATTAGACCTGAAGGGAAATGTTGGCCAGGCTGGGAGACAATGACAAGTGCCAGGAACCCTGGGTGCCCTTTCTAGCCACTTTGAAGTTCATTCAGATGGTACAAAGCTCCGTTTTGCTTTGTTGAAAAAAAAAAAAAAAAAAAAGGGGGGGGAGGAAGGGAATGAGGCATGACAGGCCCATTGAAAAGGGAGCAGGTTCCTGTGAACTGACAGAGAAACTGAGTACTGGGGGAAGAAACATATTATCAAAGAGACCGACAAAAAGGCCTCCTATGACCACTCTGCTTTATTACATCTACAAATTGTGCAGATGAACACGTAGTTGAGGGAACAATTGTCTACACAGGGAAAATGGAAAACATGTTATTACCGTAACATGGAATCCCAGCTGTCCAATATGAATCACTGATCCATGGAGATGACTTCAAATAAAATACAGCACCATGGCTACTGTGGCACTATAGAGTTCATCTCCAGTATAGGCGCAATTCTAACCAACAATATGCACCCCCCGTACAACATCTCCAGTAGGCAAAGCGCTGGACTACTGATTCCCTCTGTACACTAATTGCACTGCAGAGAACAGCTACTCTGCTGTGGAAACATTTGGAACATAGAAGTCCAAAGGTCAAAGGTCACGAGAAAAGACCCTTTTACTGGATTTTTTTTTTCCCCTCACTGTAACTGTAATTACTGATGTTAATTATATGTAGTAAAAATAAAATACAGAGCTTGGGGCAGAAAAAACATCCACATGCATTCCATTAACGGATACCTGTATTCCTTGCTAACAAGATTCTGGCAACTGAAAACAAAACAAGTGCAGCAGACCAAGAGGTTCACAGGAAAAGCCTATTTGAACTGTTTTAAGTGTCCAAAGTGCTTCCTCTTCACTCCCTTTCCAGCCATCTATGCTCAGAATTATCAGCAGCACTAACCCCAGCCAGCAAGAAGCAGAGAAAAGTCTTGTCCTAGGCAGCACTTAACTATAGGTAAAACTGTATCAGATTGTGTCTTGCTGCTAGAATTAAGGTAGCTAGACTCAAGTTACCTCTGAAGGGAGAGCTGGGAAGATTTGAATTGAAAAATATGGATAGAAACAAAGTCCTTCACAGAAAGTATATAGGAATTATTTCCCCCTTAATTCTCTATTCATATTACTTGCATGCATGAAATCCTAAATTTAACCTCTAACCTTGCTTCTGTAATCACAAAGACCACAAACAGGCCTTCCACTCCTCCAGAAGGTGACACTGGCATCTGAAATTGCAATTTTCTATTTATAACTAACGTTCATACAGATTAGGTCTCTCCAGGGCCACCAACAATTTCTTACATATTCTGAATAAGTTCATCAGGAAAGGGGCACAGCTGACTGCTCTCTGATCCAGCAGCCCATGTTTCATCTCTTCCCACCTACAAAATAAACATAAGAGTATTAAAACACTTAACCACATAATTTGCGCTGTATCATTTCTCAATAACATGATCTGGTTGCTGAGGGTTCTACACACTGCTGTGCTCAGGCAACAAACAGTTGGGTAGTATGTAGGAGCACTTCTTAAGGAGATGGAATGGTGACAACATCGTAACTTTTGGAGCTGGGAACTTCAGCCTACACGTTACTAACATGTATATTAGAGCATGTTATTAACCTTTCACACCAGCTGTTAATGGCTAATCTGCACAGGTAGGTGAGATGTTATTTTGTACTTTATCCAGATATAATCTTTACTTGGGAAAGTTCTACTGTCAAGTGGAATGCTTCAAGCATACTGACAAGGGGAACAGTAAAGATACTGTTTCCCACATGCTCTGCATCAGTATCCCAGTACCAGACTAAAACAGACCAGCCACAGCAGGGAAACACACCAACCCACTGTTTGCAGCCTTCCAGCAATCATTTCACACCTTATGCTATGCTTGCTAGAGCTGACACCCCCACAGTATCTTCCAGAATCAAATATTAAAATTTTCATTCAGGAAGTTAATATTTTGCATTATTAGCCAGGGAATTCCATATAATTCTTCCTAGTTTTATTGCCATTAAGGGGGCTGATGGAATGTTTTTGGTTTGGTTTTTTGGTTTGGTTTTGGTTCTTTTTTTTTTTTTTCTCCCTTCCTCCTCTTCTCTTGGCCACTGCATCAAAAAGTAAATATTGCCAATTGTTTAATTCAGGAATCCTTCTTCTAGTTACTTCATATTTTGTATAAATTCTCACACATAAAACCACATATAAGCTATTGGTTCTGGGACTAAAAACAAGGTTGCAGTATTCTGATCAGAACAAACCAAGAAAAAAATTCATAATGGAAACTTGGTTGCAATCTTAACTATGGAAAAACACTACTGTTTTGCAGTGAAGATTAAAACCAGAAAGATCAACTGAAAAAAAAAAAATAAAAAAAAATCAAGAGAATGGGAAGTACTAAAACAGACTATACCAGCAAAGGAAAAATTGCAGAGATTTAACAGATGACATGGGCCTTTGGTATGTAGAATATCATGCCTATAAGCATTTGAACTACACTAGCATAGTTAAGAACTCAACACATTAAGCCCAGAACATAGCTAAGAATGCTGCAAGCATATGGATTAGACATCAGACTCAATGATGCCCAGAGCAGTGCATTCAGATACTTCTCCAGCAAGGGCTGCGGTTTAAGTCACAAACTGATTTGTGATGGACAAGCATTGAATCAAGTGTCCTGCAAGCCTTATGTAGACATCTTCAAGAATATTGTCAACATCCAACATGTTTGGCACAGAGGAGCCTGCCTTTCTGGGGAGTTCAGAATGAGAAGAGCTCTCCTCTGATTTCATGATACCTGGCAGCTTCAGCCATTTGGGTATTTTCCCAGGGGGCCTTCTCAACACCTGTGGAGCTTCCTGCAGGCTTGCTGGTTCCGGCTGCTCATTGGTCTTATTGTCACCTCCCACTTTTGGTTCAGATAGGGATGGAACTGTTGATTCTACAGATGACGAAGCAGAAGGAACTAATGATTTGGACAAACGTCTGAGGAAGAAAATAAGCAGTAGAATTAAGCTTCATTTTTTTCATAATAGCCCCTTGTACCACCACCACCACCTTTAAACTTTTAAAGTCAGATTTAAAAGGCTCCTCTTTTTCATGATAAAAGCTCTAGGATTTACTTTATTTAGTCACTGAAATCCTACTTTGCAAAGAAGGAGTCACAAAGCTATGAAGTATGACACTATGACCGCTTCAGGAGAAAATGAAGTCCTAGTATCTTCAGATCACATTTCTCTGTAGTAAGATGGGCTTGCTTCATGCTTCCCATCCCTGAAATACTCACCCATTTGCAAGTCTATTCAGTCCCAACGTACCTGGCTACTAATACATCAGCTGCAGAAGGGGAAACTGCAGAGCTCAGCAGGTCTGATTTCAGGTAACAATCTGTTTAAAAACAAAACCCAAGCACTTGTTTGGTAACAGAGACATCAATCACCACAGAATCACATAGCTCTCAGCTCAGCAAATACCTGCTGTATACTATAGTAAATCTTGATCACCTTGATCAATCTTGATCCAGCTGACACAGGACACTTTTAAACTATAGAAGTTTCTTTCACAACTCAAGATACCCTATTTCATCATTCAAACCTCAAGATCTTGACATTTTCTTTCACTGCTCACTACATCTCAGAAACTTTTCTGTGAAGCCAGAGCATCCTTTAATCTCTGGGAGAAACAGAGATTCTAAATGTAAAACGGAGGTGTCAAAGCATCACTCGGAGATGGGAGAACAGATCTGTTCTCCCATCTCCCGCCAGGCCAATACAACAGGAGGTCTATTATGTTTCATAGTCATTTGTCTAGTTAACATTTCAAACAACGGTATTTCCTTCTATAGAGTCGTTCTTCTATCATTCGTGTTTCCATAGTAGACAATGGTTACTCCATAGCCTAACAAAAGGTACTATGTTTACATTTGTGCTCAAGCTAACTGACCAAGCTAGCTCTGAAGAGCTTCAGCCATTTGGAATGAGAACATTCACCAGCATTCTCAGGGACTGCATTATCTTTTGTTGGAAGAACTCTGAACATAAGAATGTAATTCTTCTGGGTCTACTATAGGAGCTATACAGTCAGCTGAAGAACAGAGGAAATTCACTCACCCCTGCACTCCTCAGATCCAAAATGAATGACAGCAGTTGGAAAGAGTTTAGCCTGCAGCAAAAGGGGAAAAGAAGAGATCACTGATTGCAGATGCTTTCACAGTTCACTGTGAACATTAGAGACAGGTTAGACAGCTACAGACAAATTCAGAGAGTTCAAGCTGAGGTCACTGAACCATCTATAATTCAGAAAAGGCTAAACTTCTATAGAGCACAAGGCACTCTGAGTAAGACATGAAGCAAAATTCTATGATCTATTCTACTACACACAGATGACAAGACCAGTACAGCAAGTGCTCATTGCACTGATGACCAGCCATTTGTTTTCTTCTGCCCCTGTATCTCAGGTAATTATATTTCATCCACATTCTCCACTGCTGATCATACAATGCGAGTATGATTAAGAATCTCCTGAGACCCAAGTGGCTGATAGTAAGAGAAGGAAAATCCAGCTGTGCCCTCAGAAATCTATCTGAGATTATTCTATTACGTTTATACCCTGTCTCTAGTTGGAATTTGTCTCATTTCAACAGCTTTCCAAGATGCAGTCTGTCCAGCCTGAATTCCTAGTTCCTACTTGTCAGAATAATTGCCATATTCAAACATTTTTTTTCATCCATTTAGCTCATTATGTGACCTAGATAACTGTAGGACTGCCTTTTTCATGTCTGCAGATGAAGTAAAGATCAGACTGATAAATGCAAATCATTATTTTGTATTTATATATCTACCTCCAAACCAGATAAAAACAATGAACAGACTGTGGCCAGAACTAATTCCAGCAAAGCACCAGTATAAGTGATCTATGTTTTTCAACAATTCCTCTCTGACTATTATTTGGGATGTCAGTCAGCCAAATCGTAACTCATTTAGTGTGTGCTTTAATTACACTGTGGCACACTTTAGAAAAAAACCCCTCATATAGGTCATGAAGCACTGAATCAAGTGAAAGTAAGTTAAAGTATGTAAATTTATTGAGTCTGTGATCTTGTAAGTACTGTCTCCATATAGAAAGACCTATGATAAAAGGATAGTCCCACAGTGCCCTGGCCGACCACATCAGTGGAAAGGTGGGAGACAATGCCCATCTCACTGGGAATGGCCCCAGAAAGGTATGCACCACAGTACCCTGAATCTTATCTTTTCGCCTACCTCTTCAGCGGTCCACAATAAGAAGTAATTTCTGGCCAAACGCATACACAAAAACCACATTAAACAGAGCTCCCATTAGCTCATAATCTAAGAGAACAAACTCTTCCTTCTGCAACTCAGAAACACAATAAAGCCAGAGTCAGCTTTTGCCACTCTACCATTAACTACCACTCCACAGAGAAGAGACACTCTTCTGCAGGCAAAAAAAAAAAAGGGAAAAAAACCACAAGAGTGGAAATGTACACAATTCTAGTCAGCAGGCCTGGTTCCTAATTTAACCTGTTCATAAATTTACCACGCTGCTTTATACTTCAGTTTCCCCCATTTTAAGGTGTGCACCCATCACAAAGGAAGAATGAGATGGCAACTGATGTCTCTCAAGTTACTATCTTGTGCATTACATTTGAGTATCTGGCTTGTTGCAGTTCACTTGTTTTTCTCTAATTTTAAATAGCAACAAATCAAAATGATGAACCTTCTGACAACTACTGTTGACAATGGCCATTCTCACCATCTTCTCCTTTCATTGCCTTACACTCAGTCTCTTATGTCATGGCTAAATAACTTTATTCACCTACCGCTGCACAAATATATACTGAATAAAATTCAATACAAAATATGAATTATGTTCAACATACTAACACGTTAAATGACATTACACTGTTGAGAAGTAATTTGTCAGTAGCTCAGATGATGACCTATTGAACGAATATTTGTAAACATAAAAGAAATTATTTTCAACTAGCCCTATGTAATATATAAGATCAGATTCAAGCCAGTAAGAAACAGTGATTACAATGTAATAAAATTCAACACTATAAGAAATGAAAACGTACAAATAATTAACAGAAACATCATATTTTAGAAAGAGAGAGTTAACAAAATGAAGCATGCTGATTAAAGACCTGGAAGTCAGAAGAAATTGAAGTAAAACCCTTAGCTATTGAATCCTTAGCTGCTGAATAAACGTTACTTGGAAAAATGGAGTCTTAGAAATGCTGTGCAACCCTAATTAAAAAAAGCAAGCAGGGAACCAAGCATTAAAGCAAACTAGCAAATGTTGTTATTTACCCATAATTAAAAAAACAACGGAGATCTTTCAACTTTGGTAGCTATTTCTGAGGTCAATAATAAGGAATGAAGTA